TGAGCACCAAACCTATTTTTCCCACATAAATGCAAAGATTTCCAGCAAAATCAAACACTGAAACTGATATCTAATTCTAAAATGGATGAAAGTAGTCACAATATAAGACGAATCTTGGAGTCTTAGGCCGTGTCCGAAACGGGCTTCCAGTGCTACGGCTAGGTCTATTGTCTGCACGTCTCCACGTACTTTCAATGGACTGAAGACCTATACCTAGCTCTAGACAACGGATTCGAATGCAGCCTTAGTTTTTCCCTAGCAAACCATCTCACATCTTCATTGAAATATGCACACTCTGCATACTTTGGTATTAAAAGCACAACGTAGCGGGCGAGTTGTGTCTGCAAAATTCAAACTACATCACCCACAGTCGTGCACATGCGTTATACAATCTTTTGTACATTTACAAAATTGTAACTTCTAACTGATTACAAAAATAGAATCATATGAAATATAAAAACAGAAGGAGCAGCAAGAAAAAAGAAAAAAAAACTCCACCTCAAGAATATGTCCAACATCTAAAGACCCTCTGTAAATCAAGCATAAAACGATTCGTTCTAAGAATGTTCCTAACCTTGTTAGTCTAATTGTGTTACACTGATTTCTTGAGATTTCAATTGTGCATTTTGAAAGAGCTGCATGTGGCCAAGCTTTGTGATTCATAAAAATTTTTGCATACTGTACGAAATTAGTTTTTAATGGCATAGTGGTCAGAACAAAATTAATTTACAAGCATAGATGTACTGCATGTACATGTAATTAGAATGAATTAATGTTTTACATCATATTAGACAAGCTCAAAGGATCCACATGTGACATCATACTCAACTTTGGTATATGAACAATTAACATAGAAAAGTATAAGGAGTTGTTTATGGAAAAATTATCACTTCATTGCTAAGAAGTTTAAAGTCATAACAAGAATTTTAACAACCCATGCACTTTTCAAAGAATGTTAAAATAGTTACGCTTTCATAGTTGTAATAAGACCCAACTAATGCCAAACACACAAGCAAATTCTATGTAAATATATAACTTTATCTGCGTATAAAGAATTATGTGACTATAGAAACTGAATTTAAGTTGTATCTGTCATTTCCTTGGCACTGTCGGTATGGCTTGGTGTAATTAGCACATGTGCTTTCGCACGTCAGTCTGTGATAATTCACCTGGAGAAACCCAGATGCATTATCTTCCTAAACACGCTGGGCCCGTTCCACCAACCCCTAAAGAACAAGAAAAAGGGTGTATACAAATGTTAGCATTCCCCAAAACAGAACATTACTGGTTGCTTAGGGTTAAACACGGGCACAATTTTAATATTAAACATTAGTGCACACTGATTACGTAGTAATCCGCCCCGAGTTGAAGTGCACCCCCAAGCGGCAAAAGAAAGACAGATGGTTGTAAGCTTTTCCAATCGGGTTCTCGCATTCTGCGTGTACGCAAAGACCATACATCGAGGAATAAATTTGTTATGCGTACTCAGCGTGCTCTGCGTCAAACGCGCCATTGATCTCTATTATAAACATGTGCTTATGTGGTGTGTACAAAAAAAAAAACGCCCTCTTTTGTTGCGCTCGGAGCAGATGTAATGATTGTAGTGCATATAAAGCCCTTTCAATTGTGTCCATGATCTCCAAAGTGCTTTATGATTATGACCCTAGTTGTCAGGCAAGACCAGTCAGCAGTTTGTATCAGTCTATGAACAAGTATTGTCTATACCCTTGCAGGTACCTAATTATCACCCTAGGTGGATAGAGGAAAGTTGGCGGGGGGAAGACTTGCGCAAGACCACAACATGTTTCTAGCTGTTAGATTCGAACCTCTGACTTCAATTGGGAGCCACAAATCCTAGCTGGCCACAAAGCAGCCTGATTGGTGGCCAATTATCCATTGAACACTTGAAGACGTAAAGCCCATAGCGTCATATTCAAAAGACATGTATAACACGATCAGGCAGTAAATACAGACGAAGGCAAATGAACGACTGGTTAAACCACCCAGTTTTTGTGACTTGATGAGCCACGTGCCTGGCTCAAAACACTCTCGGGGGACTTCTCTATTGAACTCACTTGAGAAAACTGCGCCAGTACATGGTTGGCAAGACGTCAGCCTTCATGTGGTACATGGTCCGTCTCTCCACACCCTGATCGAAGGGGAACGTCTCCAGGGGTTCCAAGTTGTAGTCGAACTCTGCCAGCACACAGGACCTGCGCCCTGTGACCAAAGGGCAGGATGTGTAGCCATCATACTGAGGGTTTAAACCAAGAAGAGTTTGTATAAGAGCAGGGTTATAATGATGTATAACACACTGAACACCAGTACACGTGGACACGTATCTTTGTTATTATATTTATAACCTTCAGAGGAGGGGTTTAAAAAACAACAGAACAAGGGAAAATGGGGGAAAGGTGATAGCATAACAGATTCCGTAGTCTCCAGGCAATGATCTGTATGCTTAACCCCTTGACGACGGGAATTTCTTCCCAAAAGCTGACTCCAAGAATTCCAGCCTCACTTGGCCACGAAGGCCACCTGCCAAACCGCGGATTCTCGGTTTGTGGCCCAGCGTGCTCTGCACGCTTTGAATTACACGGTGAAAAGGCTGATTGTTTGGTGGCATGCGGCTGTACTCAAGCTTCCACATTCCCGTTGCCTCTTTTCAAAGTGGGGACTATTGTGAAGCTGGTGATTATGATGCAAATTCGGTCTTTTGATTTCTGGGCTACGCACAAAGACCAATTACCATGTACATAAGAGCCAGGGTCTGCCTTCTTTTACCATGTTCGCTCGAGCGTGGGCCGAGAATAATAGCTGAAAAGCCGGCTGAGGATCTCAATTTTTATGGCAGCTCTATCCGCGTCCCAACGCGAAGGGGTTAACAACAAGTGATAATATCGACCAGTAGGAATGGATAATTCTCTCCCTTCGATGTGATCAACTAAATATTCCATCCTTACTTTGTCAACTGGGGTCAGCCCACCGATCACAGCATCGATTGTCTTCTTCAGGATACGACTTTGTGATGCTGTCAGTGCAGTTGGAAGAAAACAAAAGTGAAAACATGAAACAGCTGTTAACACAATTGTCTTTTTTTTTGTAATTGAGGAGGGAGGTCTGCTGTCAGAATTGTTCTTCATCTGAAGGGTGTAACTGTGGGATGTTGCATGGGGGTGAACTGAATTTTTTTTTAGAGACAAACAACCTGCTTTAGAGGACCTAGGGGAAATTCTTGCAGTCCTGCATGAGAACTGTGTCCTTCGGTATCCCTGAACCCATTGGGGGAAATGAGGGTTTGAAGATAGACAGCCAGACTGTTTACAAACAATGCTATGGCTTTGGCTAAAGACACGCTGTTCAAAGCATTGACACACTGCCCCAGCCATACAGAACTACACCCTTAAATGTCACAATTCTTAAGAATGACAATCAGCGCAACGAGGGCCGGATTATCCAATAGAGCCCTACAAAATCTTCAGGGGCCTGCACAAAACTTGAGGGCCTACAAAAATGCTGTGGTATGCCTTCAAACACATGCTATCTTCAAAAGGTTGGGAGCCTCTCTTTGCATTTTTGATTTTGGAAAAGCTCCCAAATAGTCAGTGCATATGGCTTTGTGCAGCAGAGCACCAACGTGAAATGTGAAGCATCAGTGCGCTGAAATAGGTCCTGGTTCCTACAGGGCAATTTGAGCCAGGCCTCAGGAACTCTGGTGCCTGGGGCCTACTGAACGCTTAATCCGGCACAGAACACAGGCTCGTCTCACCTGCTGCAGCTGCTGTCTTTGAGGTGGGGAAGTCGGTGCAGTCGCCAATGCCAAACACGTTGGGGTACTTGGTGTGCTGTCCGGTTTCCTTGTTGACGCTGAGAAATCCGGCCGGTCCGGCGAGGGGGCTTGCCTTCAGAAGATCTGGAGGACCCATTGGAGGGGGCACATGAAGCATCTCGTACTTTGTGAGAGAAAGATCAGAATTGCAAATCTCAGAACTCAGGACCAAATCCACATAAATTTATAGCTCAAGAAACCCACCAGCAAGACATTTGATATCAAGCAATAATATATTGTGCACATAATGACACCCTCTGTGTCATGACCGTGTAAGGAAAATGACCCAAGTTCACGTACGGGCAATGTGATCATCTCATTTGGCTCAGTGTCCAGCTTAGCAAAGACAACCTCCTTGCTGTCTGGCTTGATCTCGACCAGATTGTGCCGAAGGTTGACCTGGATGCCGCGCTTCTTGCAGATGTCGGCCATGACAGCGGCGTACTTGGGGGCACTGAATATCGACGCCAGGGGTGTGAAGTACATGACGTTAGCCTTGTCTCGCTTGTTATTCTGTGTGAATATTGGAAACATTACAAAAAAAAAATTACCGAGTTGACATTTTTTGTCCGACGAGAGCATCCGTAACTCTTTTAGGGGACTCTTCCACTGCAGCCTAGTCCCTCCAGCGATCCATTCCTGACAAACCAATCAATTCCATCCAAACAGATTAAAATGCAAATCACAGAGATGTACTATTTTGTAACCGACTATTACCGATGTACATGTATGTTACATTCAATAATAAGTTATTTTCAATTATGTTCAAACATGTTACATTCAATAACAGGTGGTGGGCAAACTATACATTTTACAACCCCAGCGATGGAATTTTTCCATTTCCCTTTCAAATGACCATTTATGTCAGGCGGAGTCAACTGGGAGAAACCAGATGGAGATTTGGTATCCCAGCACACCCTCGATCGGTACAGAGACATTTCCTCTGCTGTGACTGTCTCCACTGTTGATAAAGATAAGCCAACCATGTCTGCATAGGCAGACAACTTGACACAAACCTTGCATGCTTTGTATAAATGAGGAATAAACCTGCCACTGAATTCAGTCTCACCTGTCTGAAGTATTCCTCCGCCAAGTACATGATCTTCTGGGGTGCCCCTGCGCACTTGACGGGAGTGTTGGGGAAGGTGAAAATGGCATTGCCGCTCTTAAAGTTCTGGATGGCCTTGAAGGTCTTGCCGACGGTGTCGTAGGAATAGTTGCTACAAACCATCGGATCGTTCTTGAGTGCCTCTGGTAGACCTTTGAGCTGGGATAAATGATCGCGATCCGTTACAACCATCAGTGGATGATGGGGTGGCAGTGGCTCAGCTGATAGAGTGGGGGAACAACCCCTCCCCCTGTTGGATTCTTCCCCCCTCCCCCCACGGCCTGGTTATGCCACTGTAAAAAAGTCCTTCCTATTATCTTAACTACATTAGAAGTAAATTATAACCTGGAGAGGCATTGCCAATCCCATCAAGAATCAGGTCAAAGGTTAGTGCACGCTGGGGTCACGCCAGCCAAGTTGCTTTTAAAATCATGACACTGAGAACATCTCCGCCCCTTAATAACCCCTTACCCTACCACTTTGCTGTGAATTTCCAGGAATTTCACTTTTCACAGGAATTTTTAATCTAACAGCATTAAATGAAAGTAGCCCACTTTTAAAAAGAAACCTTCTTTTTTAACTGTGAAAATCCAATGACAGCTACCGGCCAACTAGCAGCCCTAGGCTATTCCCAACCAATGACCTTGATTACCCAGCATGCAGGACAGTAAAGAAATCTGTCTGCATACATTTGGAAAATTCAATAAAATGAATGCAAGTCAGACTTGTGATAAAGGCTTAGAGGCAGAATTTACCTGGTCAAAGTTGAGTTGAAGTCCCATGGCAACTACCAGATAGTCATACTGCACTACCCTCCCATCTGATGTCTTGACGTTGTTGTTCTCAGGGTCAAATTCAACCGCCTTGTCCTTGATCCAGTCGCAGGCCTTGGGCATGACGTCCTTCATGAGTCTGCGCGAGGCCTCCCTTTCCTTGATACCCCCGCCCACCAGCGTCCACAGTGGTTGGTAGAAATGTTCCTGAGGGAAGGAGGTAAATGTCAACTGACAATCGGGTTTTGAATCCGGCCACTGGTCATACCTTGTGGCCCTGGGTACACCAGTTCAACCCTACTTCCCTCTCTCTAACCAGGAGTACAAACGGGTACCAGCATTGGTTAGGGAGCAACCTGTGACGGTCTTGCATCCCATCCAGGGGTGAAAGGAAATGTGCTCACTCACTCATTTCATGCCACAGAAACCTGAGATAAACAAAGCCTCGATGAGCTACACTGGCTCTGGGCCGACTTGCACTTGCGGCAAGTGCATCTGGACTCCGACTGGCACGACAACACTTTTGTTTCATGCCTAATAACAGGCTCTTACAAACACAATTAAAGAAAATAAACTGCATGCGGACTTGAACAACTCCCCCTGGTATGAGTTGGACTTAGGGGCTGCACAATCTGCGGTGAGTTTTTCCATGTCATCAGAGCATTTCTGTTGCCACATTTCATGAGTTATTCTCTCAGCACTGGGTTCACATTTTGACGTCAGTATTAAAAAGATTGCCTTTGCCTTTCCTGTGAAACATTAAAGTTACAAATGCAGGGTGGGGAGGGAATGCTTTCCCTTATGAGCCAAAGGAAAATGAGGGGAATTGTGAAGTACAAACTACTAGGTAGGGGATTGTTGTCAAGTACTTCTCGAGTACCAAGGTTATCTGCCAAATGTTGAGCTAACAGGAACGAACAAGGCTTATAGAAGAACGTGGGCATTGGGCTAACAGGAAAGAACAAGGCTTATAGAAGAACGTGGGCATTGGGCTAACAGGAAAGAACAAGGCTTATAGAAGAACGTGGGCATTGGGCTAAGAGCATGCACAAAGGTAAGATGACAAAATCAAATAATGACTTCGGACCCTCACTGCTTAACAAACATCAAGTTTCTGAGACAAAAGTACCCAAAAGTACTTGACCAAATTTTTTTTTTGACTACTTTTCTCCTTAAAGCTTCAATTTTACAAAACTGTAAGTGTCTGAAGTCTTACATTTAGTTTCTAATCTTAACCTTGTGCATCTACCATCAACTGCCTGCACACTCCAGTTTTATTCCTCTAACAAGTTCAATGTCTAACATGTCTGGCAGAGGTCCTTAGTACTAAAAAAATACTCGACTACAACACTCCTGTGTACATGAAATCAACAAATCCCTGGCCAAACTGGACTGAAGCTATGAAGATCAATGGAAGGACCATTCATTTTTTTCACCATTCTCACAAGCCTACAGAGTGTGCTCCTTTCTGTACACTCGATCTCCCCTTCCAAAAGCGTGCAATCTCAAACCAGGTAAAAGAAACATGACGACTTCTGTGCTAGGCATTGTCGCTATTTTGAATATTTTTGAAAAGTGGACAAAAGTGTAGTTCTGTAGCCCTTTAGGCTGACTCTGATTATTATTTAGATGGCTGTGATAAATAACATTGCATGAGAATTCACATTTTTTTGTAATGGCGTTATTGTAGTTTAGTATATAGCAACGTGGTTTATGTTTTTACTGTTCTAGTTGACCGCATGCATGTTTGTGGACGGGAGTCACAAAGAATAAAGACCAAGAGTGACAAACCAAAGACTTGTGCGTGTCCAACTTGACCCAATTCCAGCCTGCAAATCCCACTGAGAATTTATAACCATTTTCTAACTGCTTTGGGTAACTTTTTGTGGCCTTCCTACATTGAAATGGTGCGTGCGGCTAAAAAATTCATGTTTAGAGCAGGAAGGCAAAGAAATATTCTCCCCCATCACCTTTTCAAGAGAAAGGGGGAGGGCATGGCCCCTATTGACTTATCTTGGACTTGCCATTGTCTGAATACCAAATTGAGTTCATGAATAACTAAGACGGGGGGTCAAAACTTACTCGAAAAATGAGCCCACGCAAAAACCTGGTATTTTTTTAACTAAAGAAAGGAGTACAAGTATCTTACATCACCCGGTTCAATGACTGCGACCTGCCCCTTGCCATGTTTACGAGACAGACTACTCGCCATGGCAAGTCCCCCTGCTCCACCGCCTACCACCACAAACTTGTACATGCTTGGGGAAATGCTGGCCGGGGCGGGCTGGGCTTGGCTGTGGGCCAGTCTTCTGGAACAATGTGTTGTTGACGGCACCACCTGACGAGACAGTACCCATGGTAACGCCTTGAATGTACGCAGCTGACGAGCCATGCCTGTTATTGGTTCTAGGACGGCCATGATGGTCTGTCAAATTTTTAAAAAAAGGTCATATTAAGCACTGCCAAGGTACATATATACTTTGCAAAGAAGTTGAATTGACCAAAACCCACCTGAAAAAATTAAATTAAGGTTTTTTGAAGTCAGCCAGAGCAAAATTGTCAGTCATGTCAGTGCTGAAATAAAACTTTAAATGGCAGTGTGAATTGTGATTGTGAATTGGGAAATTCTGCCAGTGGGCAGATCCAGAAGCAAACAGGAGGCCAAAATTTCATTTTGGGGAAGGAGCCCAATATCTAATATTAATATATAATATATTTATCTAATCTTTGAATCTTTCATGCGATATGTCCACAGGCCCTGCACATGTTCCAATGCCCATAAGCCATATGTTACTCGTTAGACTACTTTGTCCTACATCCAACTTTTAACACAAAAATCACCACTCCCTAAGCATTCACGGATTTACCTGCTGTTGGCCTAGCTGAGAAGCTCTTGTCACAAAACTTACAATCCGCCGAAACTTGACGCGATTCACGCTACAACTTCAGTTGAAGTACAACACCTTGCGAGCAATGGCAACTGGTGTGTTGTCAGTAGTACTGCAATTGTGTAGAGACTCAATGATAAAAGTACAAAGTTCAATTCATGTTACAGGAAGACACCAGGCACTTTGCTGGTAGCATGCAGACCTCGGATGACCAGATGATGTCAGCTGGTCCCGTAGTATAGTAGGCAAGCACGCGCGCCGTGTATCGGCCTCACCTCAGTATACCAGGCAAGATATGGGTCTGAGGGGTCCCCCCTTACCTGTCCAATCCCTATACACACTGTAGACGATTGTTACCTAACACACTCCCCCCCCCCAGAAGTTTGTAAAGAATTCCTGAGATTCCGATCAAACAATGACCAACGCAAAGGCGGGGGGGGTCTCTCTGTCCCATATCTTGTTTCAAATGTACATGTGCCTTAGTGCGCTATACTAGCTACGTGTGACTTTGCGCCTCTCTCCGTCGATTACGTAACTCTGACGGGGCAACGATAAACAGGTCACCTTTCTAAAGCGAATAATGAGTGTTTTCTTTTTGATGTAATATAATTATTCACGGGTGATTGATAATTTTGTTTGTGATGCATGAATCCGATGTCGTGAGAGGCGTAACTACATACAGGCTACATGTCGGGGGGGGGGGGGGCACCCGTGGATGCACGCCGCAGGCACAGATTTCAAATGGGGGGGAGAACACACGGGGAACCCAGGGGCACAAGCATCCGCAGAGGCACGAANCCCGGTGGGCCCCCCATACGTGTCGTGGTGATGCGAAATGGATTGAACACTAAGTCTTGCTTTTGAAATGTAGCTGCAATGAATTTTTCCTCAACACAGTCATTTTTTCTTTTACTGTCTAGTTTGTATTCCTACGGAAGCGCATATAAGGGCTACTTGCAAAAAAAAATTCAAGGCGAGATAGTAACTCTAAAAAAAAGATTGTTGCATGTGGCTTTAATACGTTTTCGCACCTCTACAATGTATGAAAACTCTTTTAGTTAAATGCACTGATAAGTATGATTATGCTTTTAAAAATAATTGAAATTATCTTTCCAGGACAATTGAGGGCGCTATTGATGTGAAGTTATCTGGTTCAGTCATTATTACATCTAACTCTATGGGTTCAGTGCACAAGGTGTTTCTGTTCAATTTGTGAACCCGGAATGCACTCATGTTCTTACTGAAAACATTTCTGAGATGCTTTCAGCATGCTATTGATGCTTTCTTATTGCTATGTACATGTACATGTAGCAACAATGAATCAGCAAAGAAGTTAAAACTGAGTCCAAGAAAATTCACGCAAATACTGGACTCCGATGACGGTACAAAGTACCAATTTAACATTGAGGCTTCTTCCTGAAGTGACGTCACATTTTTGCTCATAAATATGGAAATACTCATTAGCAACAAGAAACAAACAACCAAACAAGCAAACAAAAATCAGGCGGTAAATTACCCTCAATTTTGAAATAGTGAAACAAAAGCTGAAAATTAGGTTGACCGGGGCACAAAGGTGCATTTCGGCTTGATTGCAGCTACCCTTAAATCCAATTTGTCGGCCTCGGCGATCTCTGCACAAAATTAAACCTACTCTTGCCATTGTCCAAACACCCCAAAACGGTTTTATTGGCCTACTGTGATAGATTTATCTTGCAGGAATATCGGTAAGATCTGAGTAGCCGGCACAAATATTTTCCAATATACATGTTTCTAGGCCTACTTGTAACCACACGTGACACGCAGGATTCAGTCATTCACCATTCCATGTTCAGTTTCTTAACATAATTCTGTAGACCGACCGTCTAAGGGGTTATTTCCAATTAGGTACACGTAATTCTTACTAGTATTAAGACTGGGTAAAATTAAAATACATGTACAGTACATGTGTATCAAGCTACACCGGGATCGGGCCTCAGACCATCCATCCACCTGCTCGTGCACTGTTCTTGCGCAGTTCGAATTTGGCTGGCCCGTGCTTTGCACTTTTAATTCACCGTTCTGTTTACTTGCTCTGCGGTTCATTCCCAAGTCTTGAAAGTACCAAAACGAAAGCAAAAGTAGGACCTGCACCTGCACATGTGTGCATGTTCAGTCATATTGCGTGATTAACAAAGCAGTGCTCCGTGTGCCAAATTGCCATTCGCCTTGGCAAATGGTATTAAATCATTCTTGAACTCTGCCTTGCTGGAAATATGCAGACGGTATGAGAACGTATTGAAAAGGGACAAGAAATGCTTCAGGTACGGGGAGTATTATTTGATGACTTGAACATGTTTCAACGGCGTTCGGTTCTGTTGTGTTGTTTTGCGTTTTCCGAGAAAGAGAATGGCACGCAAAACTCGTTTGCTGTAAAATATCAAATCATGATGTAATGTTCGTGTTCTTTTACTTGGAGAAACCCAGACATATCAGCTTTCTTGGTGTATGCGGTCCATGGAACTGTCGAAAAAGAGCAAAAACAACGATGAACGTAAAACTTCCAAAACGAAATTTGACTAATCTGTGTTGGAAAAAATAGTTTTCTTTTGTGCCAATCATGGTATTGGTTTTTTCATCATATTTTTCGGACGCAGGGGCCCCGAAACGGTGCTACTGAAACATAAACTGCTTGATTAAATTTGGATTTATCATACAAACGTTGATTAAATTTTGCTCAGTTTCCTGAAAATCCATCAAAGTCTCATATTACGAGTGGAGCGCAGATTGTGCGCGCGCAGTTTGATTGTTCGAAGTCCGTGACGCCATTCCTATTAAACGAGATCGCCGATTTCCCAGAACTGCGACTTGTATTTAACTGATGAAACGTTAGGGTAAATTGAATAAACGATACTCAAATGGGTGTAACTCAACACAGGTCGTCATAAGGAAGCAGTGTTTGGTATTATTTTAACCACGAAGTTACAGCCGTTTATTGAAATTCTACTTTCATTTTAATAATAATATTGCGTTTTCAAACAAACACAACTGTAGCAAACGCTGTCATTTCACACCAGGTTAATTCAATGTTTCATGGCCACTCATAAAAGGAGAACTCATTTAAAACTTTCTAATACAGGAAATTGTCAGTAGGCTATATGTAAATGTAATGTACTGACATAGTGATATTGGGTAAAAACTAGCAAATGCTATGAAGTTCTAGCAAACGGTAAAACCATTAAGAATAAGCAATTGCTTGAATTTGTATGAATAAAAATGTTTCTTTTACTGTTCAGCATCTGCTTGTACAAATAGTAGCAAATGCTTTATACTTGTGGCTGACTTCACAGCGGAACGGTTTTGCACAATAGGGCTTCCATAGTCTGCACGTACAGACACACACAGAGCTACATGGTGCTGTATCTTGAGACCTCAGCATGGCAGATAAGCACGATGGCAGTAATTTTGATCGCAAAAACCTTGATGAAGAAAATTGCTCTGCCACTCTCAAATCGGTACAACTGCCTGCATCTGGTTTCTTGAGATTCTCTCCTAAAGGCATACAGCTTTTCCTTTCGAATGGCATTCATGAACGCTGCCATTTTGAACATTAGTAAATGCTCCTCGTTTTCAAGCTTGCCCTGACCCAGTCTTGAAAAGTGTCAAGTAAATACTCCACGAATCTGTAGAACTTACCCATTTTTATTCATACAAAATGAAGCAACTGCTTATTGCCAAGCACAAACTTAAAGAGTAAAAAGTAAATACTTTTACTTTTTAGCAGTTGCACTAAAGTAAAAGCGTTTGCTTCATTATTATTCATACAAACACGAGTAAATGCTTCAAAAATGGTAGTAAAAGCAAATGCTACTTTTTTATTCATAGGACCCATTGTACTTCAATGACTGGTTTGTCAGAGGGAAAAACTTTCAAACTGTATCAAAAGCAATGCTTTCATTAAAGTAAGATTGAAAAATAAATGCAACCATGCATCTATTCCTAAGGATGGATTTGCGCAGGGGAGATGTTAATTTTGGATTTTTGCCCTATATTCGACGTGTATTACAACACTCTATACTCAATGTTTGTCCCCGTAGGCTTGTAAAAAAACCACAAGCGTAGTCGAGTGGGACTCGAACCCACGACTCCCTGCTTACTGGTGCAGACATCTCAACAACTCGACCACCGAGCTCGTCGGTGCCAGTTGGCTAGTTTGAATCAGATGTAGCAGCGGGTACCGCGAACAACTATTTCCAAGGATGGATTGGCGCTGGGGAGATGTTAATTAATTTTGGATTTTTACACGTGGGATATTACACGTCAGGCAGGGCAAAAATCCAAAATTAATGTGCATGTGCCACATCACTGGTGGAGGTGGGCGCCAACGGGGCCCTCCCCCCAGGGGAAGGCTTTTGCAGATTCTTTTCATTTTTTTTTTATTTGAGGACGATTTCATCGCCTAAAGTGTCTAATAAGCCTGTTAAATTCAGCCTCAACGCTGAGAATGGCCATGGAAGCTTAATGTTGCAGATTTCTCAAACATTTTCATGCGCGTAGGATCAGGCCTATACAGTGAATTAGCAACAAACAGCAACCACGAAAAGACCGTTATGGTCATGATCCTCGCCAGTATGCAGCTCATGCAGACATGCAGTGCGACGCGGCCATTTCTGGGATTGCACCGGGGGGGGGGGAAGCTGTTGCAGGGCGGCAGGTGGAATTGGAAAGAGGAAGTCAATTTGGCATCCTGATTCAAATAGGCACTGTTTGGATGGAAAATGTGGAGGCTTTTATACTAATTTACCGTTCATTTCTGAACTAGGGTACATAGGCTTCGTCAGGTTTTTGATGAGACATTTTGTCTTCATTGATGGAGGCACCTGCACTAAAGTGCCGTCTTGACGAAGTGATAAATGAGCACAGCCACTAGAAGAGCCACGATTGGAACAAGCATCCGCTCCGGTTTGAAGCTCATGAAGTACGACACGGCCACCGACATTGCGCTGCTTGGGCTGTTCCGTGACGACTGCTCCAGGGCAGCACTCATGTACTGCTCCGACACCCTCAGGGTGGTGAACAGGGCTCGCACCTCGGTCTCTCGGACATCGTTTTCTCGGGTCGCCACCTCCCTGGCGAACGCTTTAGCGAATTCAAGGCAGTCGCTGGCGATCAGGCGGAAACGGGACGGCACGATAGTCAGGCAGAGAACCTGTAGATACAGATAGGCCATGGCCGATTCGCCCACGTAGAAACTCCGGGATTTCATCAGCCAGTCAAAGTAGTACATGTTTCGCGCCAGAACGTAATTGTTGGTTTCGTCAAGACAGATGTGGTATTGTTGGAGAGGAATGGAAGTTGTC